GTTTAAATAGTCTGAAACTGAGGTTAAAAGATAGAAAAGTCATTTCTACTGCTACAAGTTTTAGTTTCAAATTTCATTTTGTGTCCATACCAATCAGAACTGGGAGAAAGCCATGCAAACACCTACCTTTTATTGGGCACTAAAAAGAGCTGATTGGTAATTGTACTGTTGGAATTTCACTTTCCTAAGAATTTTTCTGAGAATCTAGGCTGAGTGACCTAAGAAGAGAAAGAGTAGGCTTTGTTACTTAAGGACATTGGTTTAGGGAACATACAGTTTAAATATTAAAAGAAAGTTGGTCTTATAAACAGCATGTAAAGTAAACTTGCTAATAAAAATCAGCCACATTTGCAAGACTATTTCCAAACTACAGCAATCTGAGAGATCAAGGACCTCCATAGGTCAGGGGTTTTACACTTGCCGTCAGTTAGCAGCACTGTTTGAGAAAGGGGCAGAATCTTTAGGAGCTACCACCTTGCTAGAGGAAATATGTTAGAAGCAGATGGGGAGGGTCCTTTGAGAGTTCGTAGCCCTATTCCACTTCCAGTTCATTTTCTCTGCCTTGGTATTGTGGAGAGAATTGTGATCTTTCAGTTTCCTGATGAAGCTTCATACTGCCATATCTCCCTCACCATTGTAGACTCTCCCTCTAGAACCATAAACCAAAATAAATTCTTTCTCCCACAAATCATTTTGGTCAAAGTATTTTATCATAGCAATAAGAAGTGACTAATACATATACCTAACAAATGTATACCTGTGCATTTCAAGATTATTTTAAATTTGGGCAACTAAGTATAGCAAGTTAATTACTATAGGAAATCTTAATAAGGTCAGTAAATGTTAATTTGTAATCATGAAATTTAGGGCAAGTAGCAGTTGATTAAGAAATGTTAGTTCTCTCTTCCATTTTGATGATACAAGTCCACACAGTTTGAATCTGTGACCGATTGATACCCTCATAATTGCATTATGGTCTCAGAACAGAAAAGCCAGTTCTAAAGTTAAACTCAGCAAGTTTACATAGTGTTTTTCTTCTGTGGCAATAATCAAAGTTTTAATTTTAAAACAGAATCATCAGAAATTTGGATATGTTTTTAACACACACATATACACATGTATATACATATATAATTGCTTATTTCGTAATGCGATGAAATAAAGAATTGTAAAGGCTTGGGAGATTTGTTAGTTTTTTGTTTATTTTTGCCATCTTAGGTCCTTATCTACTGATACAATTCTCTCAGTTAGAAATTTTAATCTTAATTTTGTAGACTTAAAAAGTTGACTCTATATTGACTTATTTATCTTCCATCTTTAAAATCTTCTAAACTATAATAAATAATACTTACAGAATGTGTGCTAGCTCATTGGAATTAAAGCATCTGCCAATGATTCCACTAAGAACTTAGTAATGTTCTAAAATTAAAGTGGTCATTGTTGGCAATCTTAATGTGGATGAAAGTCTACTTGGTGCCATTGTCTCACTGTTTGTAACATACTGGACATAAGTGATTTGTTTGGTTTGTTTTTAAAACTCTGGTGAGATCTGTTCCAAGGCCTGCATGCTGGACAAACAGAACATTTTAATTTTTAGGCCAAACTGTTGGAATTTATAACAAAGTATGACTACAGTTTTCTTAGTATGGTCCTTTGATCATGACACACTCTATCTATCCCAGTGCTTGTTAGGTATGTAGCTGTATATGGTACATTTAGTATTCTGATACCCACATTATATAAACTCCGTTCAAATTAACAAAATCAAACTCATTAGAGAAGTGTAAAGTATGAACAGAGGGGTACAGACGCACATACATCAGGTTTCCTCGTGTGGCTCTGGTGTCACCTGTGAGCTGAACATTAGCATTTTGTGTCCGTCTGTTGGGATAGAAGGGTTTCATAATGAGTGGGATCTGCATTCTTAGTAAGAGCAATTGATGTTGAATGATTAAATAGAAGAGGAGAATAAATAATGCAATAAATAAACAACACAATGTTAACAATATGTGAAAAGTCACACAGGTAAATATACACATTGTAGTACAGGGAAACTAAAACTGTTATTTTCCTTTAAAATCACTTTTACAACCAGGTACACAAAACATGATGATCTAATGATGACTCCATGTGTAAACATGAAATTCTGACACGAAGGCCCTTGTTCAGTGAGTGGGGAGTACTCCCTGAATTGGATAAGGCAGTTTGTACCACAGTGACTGATCTGGTATGCGTGTGGGGGAAACAGTGCTGCTTCCTTACCTTTTTGCTGTCTTTGAAAATAAGCTGCTGGCTGTACATCGGCCTCACATGTGAGCGCACTGCAAAATACAATGTTTTATGAGTGTGCAAAAGACAAATTCAACTTAAGAATTTCCCTGCTCATTATAGAAGTATGTGGGAAAACAGTTCTGAAAACAATGTGTTCATATTCATAGATGACATTTTCCAGAGTATTTTTGAGGGTCTGAATTTCAAGCATTGGCTGGCATTTGGTATCATTTGTTTTTGTACTCTCAGGGCATATGCTGAGGTACTTGTGTCTGAATTGCAGTTCTTGCTAGTTTGTGTGTGTTTGAGCGGCAAATAATTGGGACACTGTATTTTTTGACTGTTCTCTTTACTTTTGAAAATATTATGCAGTCTGTTAAGATAAATAAATACCCATTGATTATTACAAAGAATAGAAGCCCATCCTTCGTGTTCTGTAAAATAATATTGACAAATAGGGAAGCAGGCGATAGTTACCTTCTGCTAGAAGGGAACCTTCTTTCTTTATAACTAACTCTAGAAAATAAAATACTGAGTATCCTACATACACTGCTTGTTAAGTTACTAGTAACTAGTATCTTTGAAATGTAAAATATTATAAGTTGTTAAGTTTGGAGTTCTCAAACATAGAAGTATAATTAGTCATAATTTTTGACATTACATGGTCTTAAATTTTTACATCTATCACTTTTTTTCTTTTTGTTTTAAAAAAAACACTGATTTATAATTAGAATTGTGGAATCATAAGTTGTACTTAGAAAAGGATTTAAAATTAAAAACCTTAAGACAGTTGATTTGGAAACAAATTACTATGTAAATGCTGCCTTTAAAACTCAGAACAAAACCTTTTAAAAATAAGAGTGCTTCTTAATGCCTCCATTTTTCAAACTATTTTGAAAAATGGAAAAAGCACTTATGATTGAAGCTGAGCAAACACGTATCTTTGCTCAGTTCTCAGAAGTTAGATTTTCTAGTATCTAGTGTAGAACTTGTCCTTGTCCCCAATGTGCTTTCAGATTTAAATGATAAAAAAGAATGTTTGGGCTCACTTCAAATTAGGAAAATTTACTCTAATGGAAAGGGTGTTTCTGTAGAAAGAAAAGTCAACTTTTCTAGTCACCAAACTAGCATCAGACCAAATTAACTGAACCTCCATCTTTGGGAGGCTCCTCAGTCCTCAGGGAGGCGCCTTCTCAGCAGGGTTCAGGTTTGGACATTCAGTGTCTTGCCTCTCACTAACTAGCCCCCCTCCTCTCCTTCCTCCTCTTTTGAGTAGACAGCTTAGGTATCAAATTTTCTTGTAAATTTTATACAAAGGCAAAAACTATTTTAGTTCTATTAGATACTGAAGTCTTTAACTCATAAAATTTAATTCAGTTTGTAATTTTTATAAATGCTGAGTCAGTTTCTAGCATGGCAAAGATTTTGTTCTTTAATCTTTTTTTATAATCTAGTCATTATGCCCCTCCTGGTACACCCTCAGACAGTTCCTCATCCCATTCCTCCTCCCTGTCTCCAAGAGGATGTCGTCACCCCCACCCCCAACCCACCAGGACTCCCCACTCCCTGGGGCCTCAAGTTTCTTGAGGGTTAGGTGCATCTTCTCTCACTGAGGCCAGACCAGGCAGTCCTCTACTGTATATGTGTTGGGGGCCTCAGACCAGCTCATTTATGCTGCATGATTGGTGGCTCAGTGTCTGAGAGATCTTGGAGGTCCAGGTTAGTTGAGACTGCTGGTCTTCCTATGGGGCCGCCCTCCTCCTCAGCTTCTTCCAGCCTTTCCCTAATTCACCAACAAAAGCCCAGCGTTTGTCCTCTGGATGGGTGTAAGTATCTGCATCTGCTGCTTGTTGGGCCTTTCAGAGGGTAGCCGTGGTAGGCTCCTGTTTGTAAGCACTCCATAGCCTCAGTAATAGTATCAGGCCTTGGGGCCTGCCCTTGAGCTGGACCCCACTTTGGGCTTGTCATTGGACCTCCTTTCCCTCAGTCTCTTCTCCATTTTCGTCCCTGCAATTTTTTAGACAGGAATCTTCTACTGGAGGAAGACCCTTTCCCCACTGTAGAGCACTTTATCCAAGGTCCCTCCCTTCGAGTCCTGAGAGTCTCTCACCTCCCAGGTCTCTGGTACATTCTAGAGGGTCCCCCTACCTCCTACCTCCCGGGGTTGCCAGTTTCCATTCTTTCCGCTGGCCCTCAGGGCTTCACTCTTGTTCTCCTCCCACCAGTACCTAATCATGTTCCCCTTTCCCTTCCCTGTCCCCTCTCCCACCCAGGTCCCTCCCTCCATCTACTCCCAGTCATTGCTTTCTTCTCCCTCAGATTTAAAGCCAACTGGTGGATTTGGGGTTTATTGTTGACTGCCATCTAGTGGGTTAAACTATTCTTTCATGATAGCCTGTTAAATTTTAGCGACCAGTTTCTATATGGAAACATTACCATGCTGTGCTTTATGTGTCTTCACTGACTGTTGTATTTAACACAACTGATTTATATGAAGTTTCTAGAACATTTTGGTGATGGTAATCCTTGAAGCAATCAGTATAAACAATATAAATAATACATACTTTTAAAAAGTCACATTAAAATAAACTGATCTCACTAATAGTTTTTGAACTCTGGTAATTTAAAATTTTATATATGTAAATTATTTCAATAATTACTACATTTTTTTTAAATTAATGATACACAGTACCTACTTTTAAGATTTTTTTTCTTACTTTTCTTTGTAGATGCTACAACTGTGGTGGTCTCGACCATCATGCTAAAGAATGCAGTCTACCTCCTCAGCCAAAGAAGTGCCATTACTGTCAGAGCATCATGCACATGGTGGCCAACTGCCCACACAAGCTTGTCGCTCAGCTGCCTGCTGCTTCTCAGGGAAGACAGGAGGCAGAACCGCAGCCATGCACTTCTCTGTCACCGAGAGAAGTGGGAGGGGGGCATGGCTGCACAACGCTGTTTCCTCAGGAGGTGAAGTCAGAAATGGCAGAACGGTCAGACAGGTCACCCCAAGAAGTTTCTTCCACGAAAGCATTTTCAGCAATAGGAGAGCAAAACAAAAAGGGGCCTTTGATTCAGAAACGGAAAAAGACTTAGTACTTGTCAGTGTTCCCTTCACCTGGTTGGGAAGTCTACCTCATGCAAGCACAGGGGAATAGTGTGCCACAGAGAGCAGCTGACCGGGGGTTTTAACTACTGCTGAGGAACTGTGAAGTTCTTAATTGACAAATCACTCTTAAGCAAATTACATTTAAGCAGGGTGTCATGTTTTATAGAATTGAGATACTACATATAGTATGTGCATAAGTGAGAGGGGAGACCTGAATCTGTGTGTATGTGTAAGGATTTCACATAAGAGTGGCACATACACACACGCGCGCACACACACACACACACACATATGCATATATATATATGGTTGTCCTATATGTGCGTGTGTGTGTGTGTGTAGATATAAGCACATACTCTTCCTCAGATAATTGGGCATCTCCAAGCATTGATAATCCATGGGAAACATTTGAGATGGTTTCAGAGTTAACCCTTGGAATTTTTCCTAAATACTACTTCTTTTATATTATGTAAAAAAAAATAACCACGTGACTGTTATCTTTCATGTGAACCAAAGCATACTTCAGACCTCAGAGCTGCCAGTCAATGGTACTAAAGGCTTTTGGGATCCTTGGTGCCTCCCAAGTCTGTGTCCATAACTCTGTCTTGATGCTGATGGAGTGTTTTGCTGTTGCTGTTATTTGTCTTCTCCTGTCTGAGGTAGTAACTTAACTCTAGATGCCTCTGACTGCCGTAAGCTTTTAATTCTTGGATACGTAACTCCAGAAAAGACAATGAATGTGAAGTTTCTATGCTGATATTTCAGTGTCTTTTATTCTGTTTTGATTGTAAATTATATGCCTATTAAGAAAAATGAAGGGGAGGGGAATGTATATAGTAATATGATCCTTTTCAGTGGAACTTTGATCCTTGGTCTTTTACAAGTGTTCTGAGGTTTTTAAGGGATCATGGCAACAGAAGCCTTCTTTGACTAAGTAGCTTTTGAACCATCACTTAGAACAGGAAGGTCTCTTACTTACTACTGAAGCCTTAGAGAAAAACTTAATTATTTGGGTATATTTTGGTAGCTGTTTTTATTATCCCTGGAGAGTCCTCAGACCTGTTTCTAAAACAAACGAAAGCAGCATAGAAATAAAATAGTGGGGCTTAGAATGAAAATTACGTTGCCCAATAGATACAGCCCATGATTGATAGTAAAAAGAATAGTGTTTGGTGGCAGGCAGACTGAATGACAGGCCAGGAGTAGAGTTACCAAACTGCCCACTGTTGTGTGGCTAGAAATACTCTATGGGAAAGCATTGATGCCATGGCAGTTTCTGTGAGTATAGAAGCTGAAGTAACCTGTGTGATAGATTCAGGATGAGCATTCAGGGCTCGTCATAAGAATCTTCTCAGATGGATTCTCAGTTTGCTAACAAATTGACTAGGGACTGATTAGAGTTTTGGGCTGTTTTCCATCATGTTTTGTTTTGTTTTTTTTTTAATGGAGTTAGCCTGATTCTAAATGTGATGAGCAAACTTTTGAAACATCTTCAAGAAGGTACCAAGGAATTGCAGTGCAGATTTTGGCTGTAACTATATGGGCCTGTTGGTATAAGCTCAGATAATCAAACAAGAAAGCATTGTGACTCATGAGACACATTCTACAGAGGAGTCCCTTCCTCCTGTGTGTCTTGTCATGGGAGGTGGGTGATGCTAAGGTTTCATCAAGCCACTAGAAGAAGAAACTGTCTCTGACTAGCTTGCCGGTCCTTTCCAGAGGAGTTTGAATTTCCTGACAGTATTTATGAGAATTCCCATAGTGTTTTACTGAAGTATCAGTGTGCCGTAATACAGAGCTTACCTTTGACGATATTGAATGTGATGTAGCCATAGAGAAGTGCTGCCTTGCCTTACGTGAGGATTTCAAGCTTATTTAAATTATGAAGACAAATCAAAGTGTCATCCAAGTATAACGAACAAAGTTACAGTTGTACAAGCAGAATATGATGATAGGTCACTTTGAACGTTCAAACCAAAGTTCCTTAACTATAAAAATAGGAAATAATAGACTTGAAAATTGGACATTCTGTTTACATATAAAAATTCAGAGCTGAGGTCATTTTAAAGAATGAAAGTAGAAAATTCAGAAACACTTGAACTATAGACCTTCTGGGTGCAGTTGACTTCTTTTTTAGCTTCTGACCAGACTGACTTACTAAAAGCACATACCAAACCTATCTTATGGTTAAAAGTTTATTTTTTATATAAAATATTGTCACTATTACATGCTCAGGACAAAGAACTTTGCTCAGGGAACATACCATATAATGTTTTTATTGTTTTTTTACAGACTAGTCTATAATCCTGCTTTCTCAGAACAAGCCAAATAAATTTAGTCTTTATGTACAGACATGTACAACTACCTCTGAGTTTGACATTGATCATAATTCTGAATATCAGATATTAGTCCTTTTTTTATTTCATGTCAGAGTCTTGTAAAGCAAAATTCCACTCCCTGCAGATGTGAATTCACTGATATGAGTACTTGTTCATTCACACAAGTAAAATGTTCTGTTTACAGCAGATGGCTACCTCCTAGCTACTACATAGCACACCTCGGTGCTGCTGCAGCCTACGGGTTGCTGATAATTCTCTGGTACAGACACTTAATCTGTAGCACAGATAGGCATTTTGCAACTGCATGTTTCTGAAAAGCGCCTGTTTTTCTCATTGACTTCTCATATTAGGTAGCAAAGTCTCCAAGCATTTCCTTAAAGTTATCATGTATTGAATTTAAGGAAGTATGAACACTCTTTATCCTAAGCAAAACCACACAGAAACAATCTTGAAAATAGATCTGTTACCTAGAGACGAGGGGCAGGAGAGGTAACAAAAGCAAACTCGGTGTTTGTATTTTGCTGACAAGTATTAGAAAAGATTCCTACCCTCTTCACTTGTATCTCTACTGTGCTGAAGGCAAAGGGTACTGCAGCATTCCAGGCCCCAGGCACATAACTAACTAGCACCAGCTTGCCATGGGGGAACTTAAAGTGCAGTGCTGACTTGAGCCAGGGGGGAAAGGGGTCTGTGGAGCACCACTTTGCAGGAATTCCTAATAGTGGGGTGATGGCCTGTGTGTTGAGCCACCTTTTGACCTCCCCCTCATATCAACACAAATGTAATTCCTAAAAATTGATTCACTACCAGCCTTTAGCCTGTGAACTATTCATTCTCTACACAGCAGGTCATAGTGGAGACATTTTTATATGTGCATTTCTAGTCTTTGGATGTATTTTTACAAATGAAAGATTTAGGAAGATTTTTATCTGCTTATAACTTGGAAATGTTAGTGTGCAATCTAAAGAAAAAGGTAAAGACACCACGTTATTAGCATCAGTCCACCTCCCAAATATAGGATGTTTTTATTGCCAATTATTTTTGTATTCTGGCTGAGATTTATTTTGCACCAGTGCAGGCCTAACTTGTCTCTGGTTGTATGTAGTTTGTGAATAGAAGCCCATAAGTGTTAATAGATCTTGTAACATTCACTGTAAGATGAATTATACAGGATGTGGGGAATCTCATTAAGTCTTAAAGTTAATTTAAATTAATTTATCTGTTTTCTCTAAGAAATGTTTATCATAAAATATATATGTAATTTCCCATTTTGGTATAAAATCTAGGGGATGTGCAAGTGGAGTTGTGTGACTTTAATTTTCTAGATGTCTTAATGAGATTTGTTTGTTTTAGAAAAAGAACAACTTGTTGAAAGCATCCAGTTCTGTCTTACATATTGTCAACAGCCTCTTCAAGATGTGCCTGTGTGGTCTGTGACCTACTGCTCGTTTAAAGTGAGACTCACTGTTGACCTTACACTTGGACCAGAACTATGGCGTTATGGTGAAGTCCTGTACTGTGAGAAAGTACCCGGATATGCGACACACCTGTGGCTTACCTCTTGACGGTCCCAGTGTGAAAATGACAGCGTTGACTACCTCTTCAGTCACTCAGGCTGTCAACCACAGGCACCTAGCACCAGGCTGGCTTTAATTAGTGTGTGTTGTTTTTGTGGTGGTAACACCTCTATCCATATAAAGACCAAAGTGCACCCTGGTTTCTCTATGTCTTTAATACAGTGTTTTATCTAGTATTTGAAAATGATCTCATGTAGTCTTTAGATTACCTCACTCCATTTCGATTCATGTTGTTTACAAGTGAACATTTTTTAAAGACACACTTGAACTTGTGTTAGAAAGAACAAAGGAGGAGTCAGTAGTAGACTGGCATGCTGCACCCCGCCCACCGCTGGACTGTTCTCTGCAGACGTGGGCCTAGTGCTATCTCTGTCCCGAATGTCTTACTCTCTTGGCTGTTGATGTTTTGGGGTTTAAAATTACGTGATAGAAAAATAAAAGTTACAATGTTGATGTTTAAGATGGGTTTGGAGGTATTTTGTGTGTGATTTCTGTGATTGAGAAATTAAGTAAATGAATAAAGGGCCCTTTCAGAGGTATTTTTGCCAATATGAAGATGAGTTAAAGGTTTCAGCATGGTCTGGTAGTGGTGGTAAGCGTGGAAGGTGGTTTTTGAGGGGAATAGGGGGTAACTTGTCTTCATCTGGATTGTCAGTATTATCATCAGGAATTGTACAAACTTGTAAACTGAGACCTATACATTTTGTGTGGCCAGAAAGAATGGCATGAAGCTTATAAAAACCTCCTGGAGAAACCGTTTTAGAATTTTCTTTAAAAGTTTCTCCTAGTAATCATGAGGATTTCGAAAAAAAACAAATTAGGAGACAACAGTACCAGAAATTTAAAGTGTTACTGTAACTTGGTCAAACTGTGCAATAGTGGTGCATTGTCAAGATAGATTGATGAACTAGTAAATGCTGTACCCTACCCGGCCCAATCCAACTCACTCTTCTCTGTTCTGTTATGATTGTCTTTATTATTTTGTGTCCTATGACCCCTATATCATTTATAATTTTTATGAGTTAAAAACAATTTTTAAATTATGGGTACATGTGCTTAGTGCCAGTGTCC